CTTGACGGCAAAGTGTGTTTCCCCCCCCCCCCCCAAAAAAAAAAACCAACACAAAAAGCTTTAAGTATTAACTTATTTCTGTCCACAGAAGGCTGTATGGCTGTACCTAAGCTTAACATCTATCCAACAGCATGCAACCTCTTCACTACTGTTGCATTCACTTCCCACATATTCAGCAAAAGCATGACGTTACCAAGACAAGAAAAGGGAAAGACTTCAGCGCCCCAAGGGCAGCAACAGCGTCTTTAGAGAACGGGTCACAGGCAAACATTGTTGGAGGTCTCCAGATGATCTTGCACCTTTCTTTACGACCTTTCTTGTAAACACCTACAAAGCACACTGCTCCAAGTGCAGCAACTCATGGGATGTGTTTTTATTTTGCCGTTTCCTTCTCCGTGCACAAGACACCCTGTTTCGCACAGTCTGGACTTTGAATGTTCCCTGGTCTTTCTGTAGAGCAGCTGTAGCAGAGACCCACTAGGAGGGATGCTGCTAACCTCTAGATCTGGAAGAGCCTTCCTGCAGGGGCCTTGCAGACTCTTGGTTGTGAAGCGGTTGTTGCGAGGGCCCTGAGAAGGGGGAAATACCCCCTGAAGTTCCTTACTCCCCTGCCTGCAATCCAAGAAAGCAGCTGGTGGTAACACACAGAAGATGATCAGAGAAGTTTGCCAACAGGAATGAAAGGGTAGCAAGGATGCCAAAAGGCAATGGTCTGCATTTTTTTTTTAAGTAACAAATAAAAACAAGCAACAAAAATGTGACTAGCAATTGAAATCAGAAAGGAAATTGAAGTGATTTTATAGAAAGAAACGTGAACCAAAGTCATACCAAAAGCCACCTGAATTTTTCTCTATCATACACAATTTCCCATGTTCATTTATGTCATCTTCACGGTGTCAGTTTTCGAGAGAACAATTCTCAGCTCAGCACGACAGAACAGTAATACTGATGGGCATGCAGAACATTAGCATGTTATAAATAAACTGCTAACTTGAGGTGGGGAAAAAATCATCAAGGCAGCTCTTACGATTAAGAACCAGAGAAAGAAAATGAGCAACTTGCTTATGCTTTCAGAACGCTGTCTTTTACAAAAAGAACTTTTTCTAACCCCCAATTCCTGAGGGAAAAAAATAAACCCAGTGAAATACCCACTGTCAAGACAAAGCAGCCAGTGAAAATGCTATTATAATTTTTAAAGCCCTCCCCGCCCCCACCTCAAGTAGTAAGCTGTCTTCTCAAGAAGCTCAAGAGGTTTGTGCTTGAAAAGAGTACTACAGCAGAGTTGTGAAGTTTCGGTTTCCTCTCACCCGACTGGCAGTTTTACATAACTCCCAAGAGGTGGTTTTAGGCTACAGATACCGCGCAGCCGAAAAAAGAAAAAAAAAGAATGAGGTGCAGAACTATTATACAGCAATTTGGATCTGGGTTACTTGGAGACACTCGATAAAAGTCTTACCATGAAAAGTAAAACTTTATTCTGCTGAGCCGACGGCCAGGATTATTCGTGCTTGCGATAGCCCTGATCACCACCCTCCGTCTGCGCCACACAGGGTTCCCTTCCCACCCCATCCTCGGTCTGCAAGGACAGATAACGCCCCGCTGCGGCACGGCCGCCACCTCGGGTATTATTTCTGTACCACTCCAGCATTGTCGCTCTTTACCAGCATGCCACTTACTAAGCAATATTATAAAAATTTCTGTGAATATCTATGTTCACCACGAGCAGGGATAATGGCCTCATTGCAATAGCCTTGATAAAAGCTCTAACAAGACAGCTTTCAGATATCGCCACACAAAAGCCTTCTGTGAGAGCTGTAACCAACATCAATTCCCGCTATGCGAAGACATTAGACAAAGTGTGAACTAGCTTACTGTACAGGGACAAAAAACTGACTGTCAATGTGTGGGACCAACACTGTCTAAAAACACGATGCTGGCAAGGCAAAATAACACCAGCATACATACATGGTAATTGCCATTTAATTCCAGAGTTAGCAGCACAAGAAAACAAGTACTGAAGGCACTATCAGGTTACTAGCATCACTCAAGACATTCTAATTCCATATAATTCCATTTCTAGTGCCTCTGGTTGGAAAAATGACCTTAAAACCAGCAGATGTTAAAAAAGCCCAAGCAGAGGGTGAAGGAAAGCCCAGTTAGAGAACACAGCAAACCCTTCAGACCTGCTCCTTAAAGCATGTATTTTCCAGTACACTGTAGACAACCTGATATATGGGAACCACCATTCCATGTATGGTACAAGATGAGACCCTTTCTGCACATCATTTTATATTTTTACATACTTACCTACTTACACTATGGTAGCACCCAAAAAGCCAGAAGCCTACTGTCAACATAAATGGACCATACTAATATAAATGTGGGGCCGAAAGGTTACTTTTTTACTTCCAGACCTGAAATTTGCCAGATGACACCTCTTAAATGGGAGTCTAGGTAGGAGGGATGCAAGTAATTCTACATGCCAGTTTGTTTCTGAACAACATGCAAGGCAGATTTGAAAGCTAAGTTTTACAGAGAGCATAGTACACTCGCTCTGCGGAGAAGTGTTTCACTCTAAAATTACATCTGTACTTCAAAATGTGTAAAAATCATTAAATCCTATAGTGCAGATTCAGTGGCTTGCAGAAAAAAAAATTATATGTGTTACTGCACTCCAATTTTAGTAAGATTTTATAACTAACGGGTAGAACCAAAATTGAGAAAGTCATATTTAGAAAGAACTAGTACAGTGGATTGATAAGCCTGACACAATATATAAGAATTCAACTCTTGCACTACATGGTGACAGCCACCTTTGAGTTCTAAACCAGAGACTTTTAATGTCACCTTAATTAACAAGGAAGGAAATTTGCCAATGAGCTTCTTCCCCCACCCCGCTTTTTAGCAGTAAGTTATGCAATATGCAACAACCTTTGAACCAACAGCTGTACACCAACCAAAAAAAACCCAAACAAAACCAGAATAGCATTGTAAAGAGGAGAAAGTCCTTCAAGAAGTTCATTAATGAAAATTACTTCTAGAATCTATGCATACATTAACCAACACACACACCACAACTTGGAGCAGGAACGCTGGAGCTGAAGCAGCCAAGACTAAGCAGACCTCTTGTTATCCAGTTTCCCAATACAATTTATTTTTACCAAAAATAGTTGTTTACATGTTTTCTATGAGTTTTCATGGATCTTTGCAAAACAACTAGTGGCTTGCAATGTCTACGTGATGAGACTCTAAAATCCTGTTGTAAGCCAAAGTAATAGCAGCCTCTGCTTTTAACAGCGGCTTGTTCATATAAAGCTTGAGATACCAAGGACCCAACATCTGCAGTATTGCAACTGAACATCACAGGAAGCACGCAGTATCTTCCTAAAAAAAGCTGGTCCTAGACCCTTGAAGTAGAGCACCTGAAAACGCCATCAGCCTTAGGTAGCGGTCACTTCTGGGCCTAGATGCAGCCACATACAAGTTGGATGAAATCTTGAAAGTAGATGCAGGTGATCAAATTAAGTCTCCTACTTAAATGAAGTGACAAAACAGGGTACTGGTTTTACTTCTAGAGGTAGGAATAAACAAAAGCCATACTTGCCCACATAACTCAGCGCAGTCGCAGAAGAGATGGCAACTGATTCCGAAAAGGTGATCTTCAATGCTCCACCTTTCCTTCCTAGCTTAGTCCTAGGCAAAAGACCTTTGGCGCAAAAGCCTGAAAGCTGCAGGACACACACGTGCAGCAGTGACAGAGCTAGCGTGTTAGTTTTCACACTATAGCAGGTGAACAACTGTTCACATTCATAAGGAGGGCAGGAGAGGCACAACACATACCATTAACCTTGGGCAAGTTCAGCTTGCAAACAACTATCAACACGTTTGCGATGTATTCATATATGTATAGAAGGAAGGCTAAAATGCATGAAGTAGAGCGCTCCTACCGCATAGCAGAGGCCATTTTCAGTATGCTCCGGCTTCATCAACATCTAGTCAAACTCTTGTCTTCTCCCTTCACAGGGCTTGCAGACGGAAATATTTATCACAACTCACGCTGAGCCCACAAGGCATTTAGAACTCCACGAATGCCACGAGATCCAGCAAATAGCAGCACCATCCAAGCAGACAGCGTAGTACTTCAGGAGACACCCATGCCAGGCATAGCACTTCCAAGTGTGGTTTTGGACCAACTTACTTGAGGAAAACAGAAGTGAAATAGTTCCCTTTTAAAGATGTGATAAATTGGGCAATTTTGCCAAGTCTGTCTTCAAACAGAAGACAGAACTGGAATTGAAACCGAGTCCAAATACTTCATCAGCAGCACCTCAAGCACTGCAACAGCCCGGTCCTGGAGGTACCTCACTCCCACTGCACACCACTGCCCCGGACACATGAAGGGGGTTTCTTCTCCCCGCAGCAGCAAACACAATTCTGCTCTCGAAAAATAATGCAGGAAGTGATTAACTCTGCCAGCCAAAACAAAAGCCTGAAGTCCAGCTTCGTCATTTGTAAGGAGGAGAGTTGCCACCATATATACACACTCAGTGCTGCCAGCTGTAAATGAGACTATTTGCAGAGACTGTAAAACCCGGAGATTTAGTTACACCAAGAGCAGCTTTCCATCTGCTGAAGCCTCCCTCTGGGCATGGCTGGCTCTACCTTACCACCATCGGTGCAAGAAGCCCATCTGAACTGAAGTCACGGTCTCCAACCCATCCTTAGTGGGCAGCTCCTCCACAAGGCAGGATTGAAGCCTGAGCCACCCTCCCACCCCTCCACACCAGCACCAGGACCAACCCTGCCACCAGAGCCATGGCCATCAGCCCAGCACCCACCTTCAGAAGTGAAGCCTGAAGGTTTGAAAGGCGTCATACTTGAAGCTCCTAAGAAAAGCTCACAGCTTCGTTTCTCACCCCATTCCCCGCTTGGTGCTCTGGACGGGAGGGGTGGGCTGAATTCCCCTCCCACAGCCGCACCAGAGCTACGGGCCCTGCACAGGACAGGGGCTCCGGAGAGGAACGGTGCTACTTTGTTTTCCTTTTTGCAACCTACGCGTGGTAATGAGCCATTTCCAGGGCTGTCAGGCACACTTGGCCCCTCTGCTCCACACCTCCTGTTTTCCCACCCAGGGCCAGGTTAAGACCTTGTGAAACAAGCTGGCTCTGAAACGGTCTCTGGCTCCTGCTAGGCCCGCAAAGTGGGTCCACCATGTCTTCAAAACATCTTTTGAAGCCACCAATCCCCAAAAGCCTGGCAAGTAAAAACTCACAACTAATAGACATGTTTGTTTTAAAGAACCGTGTGATTCTTTTCTAAAAAGGACACTTCTATTTTAACATTAATGGCTTTAATTTCAGGAGAAATTAAACAGGTCTATCACTCTTCAGCTTGGAAAAGACAACTGAGGACAGAATATAATGTATCATAAACCGTGTTGAGAAACATATGAGGAAATCATTTTCCCCTACCGCAATATCTAGGACCACCCAATAACACTATAGACAGCAAGTTCAAAAAGAAAAAAAGAGGGCAGAAACAAAATTATTTTTTCTTCCATACAAGATAATTAAATGATAGATAGAACTTGTTGCTACGTTAAGGTCAGAACTACAACTAGATTCAAACAGGGATTAGGCAGAAAATCACAGGCCATTAGTAGCTGTAAAACTCACTGTAACCCCTGACCAAGGAAGTACTCTCTCAAAGCAAGCAGAAGGGCTGTCCTGTGCAAGCCCTCTTCTTGTGTTCCTTCCTCAAACGTTTGCCAGTCATAGTCAGAGAAGTAGTAGGAGAACCTTTCATCTTGCAAAATACAACGGTTCCTACATTTAAAGATTTTTTTTTTTAAATGCTTGCACATACTCACAAATGAGCACACTGTAAAAATTAACAGAGCAGCACCAACATATCTGGAATAAAATGAGGGGAAAGAAAATGCCTTTAATTGCTCAATCAGTTGAAGCAGCCTCTACAGAAGAATAAACTGGCCCTAAAGTGACCCATATCCAGCTTTTGGCAAGCAGGCTGGTGGCACAAGGAAGATGCCTTCGTGGTGAGAACAGGCAAGACCAACTTCTGAAAACTGAGGCTCGGTGAGCTGATTTAACACCTCAACACCACTGCATGGGAAAGCTCCCGTCTCCTTCCTTCATCTCAGGCCAGGTACGCCCAATATCTACTGCATGCCAGACCCAATTGCTCATTAGACCCAGCTATTTTACCTTGTTAAAGCAGCAGAAAACCAACCCACCAGCACAGCTGGATGCTCCCCAAGCGCAGAGAGGGGGGAAGAGCACTACCAGGCCAGCAGTAGGGTGAAGGAAGTGCTATGGAGGAGATGGTGAGGGAGAAGCAAGCCTACTGCTTCCAGCAACAGTAAAGCCTTTGAGTGGCTCAGCTGCTCATGGAAACCTGCCAGAAGCCCTTATCATCTTGGGGAAAGAAACCTACTGTACTTCAGTAGTTCTGGTGCAGATGGAGCCACACCAGCATAGCTGGACTCTGTGTGAGGATAGCAGAGCCACCATCAGCAAGCACAGCAAGCTACAGGCTATTCCTGTACGTTTTTAGTAGGATACCTGCTTTCCACTAGATGCTTGTTGGCATGGTTAGGGCAATCAGGACTTAGACCTCTTTGAACTGTCCTCAGACAGCTGTGCCAAAGGACCATGTGGTACCTCCTTGGGCTCAGAAGCAGTCTGTCACTGAAGGAGATGGATTTAAACCAAAGAAACTCCCTTAAATGCTATTCAAAAAGCAAAGGCCCCAGACTCATGCTAGCATTCATTCCTATTAACACAAATTATCAGGCAAAGAAATATGAAAACAGCTCTGAATATGAAAACACCCATGTCTTCTACACACACAAAACTTTTTATTCCTGCAAAATAAAGAAAAGCTACTAGTTAACTACCTACTTCTTTTATGCAACTTACAGGTTTTTCTCCCATACCTTAAATCCTTGTTCAGTATTTATGTCCTATTTGGCCTGCTCCTTTACCTAACACCTAGGAGAAAGATTGTGCGTTACCCCATTTTTCTCCCCTTCCAGCTGTGACTTGCTGAGAAGGAGGGAGGAAGAGGTGCTTTCTAAACTACCAGAAAAATGAGCGAGGTGCTAAGTATTCAGTTTGGAAATGTAAATCCTCCCACCCCCTTCTGAAGTATGCCGAACCAGCCTCTCCACAGCTCATGTCATCTAAAGGCCACAGGAGTTCTCTAAAGATATTCTTGTTAAGAGGATTTAGCCCCTTTTAAAAAGGACTTAACATGTGGGTGGTGTCTCCATTTAAGCATTTTCTCATGGCTAAGAAAATGGCCTTCTTCTTAAAGGCTTATCTTTATAACCCAAAGACAGTAAGAAATTCTCCTCTATTTGAATTAGAAACATTTTGAGCAGCTTGCTTCTATAGCAGCCCCATTTTTAAGTACTGGGATTTGCAAATGGTAGTGACTTTCTCACACCAAGCGAGAAGCCAACACCAGTGAGAACGCTTTTGGGGTACCTCGCTGAACATTAATTTCTCCCACGTTTTCATGAGGAGCCGAGTTGATTCACAAGCTCGCTGCCACCAAAACAGCACGGTGTCACCACCCCTGTGCCCTCTCCCTGGCCACCGCCTTCCCTTGGTGGTCCCTAGCACTTACCAGACCTTCCGTTAGCTGGTTCAACCTGCCTGCCCAGCAGAAAACCTTTATTTATTTATTTTGGTCAGGGTTAGTTTTCCACCCTGGGAAGCCTGAGCTTCCAGAAGGGAAGAAGGGGAGTGGCACCAGCCCCCGGCAGGGCGCAGGAGGGCAGGGGAAGATGCAGGACCGCCTGCCCCTCGCAGCAGCACTGACCCCATCTCTGGAGGCTCAGGCTTTCCCCAGGAGCACAAGCTGATGGTTGCTTTGCAAGGGTTAATTCTTCATTACCGCTTGTGTTTAAGCCATGGCAGGGGTTCAGATCTGCCCGGTAACACCTTCTATTAACTCCACAGGAATCGTGAAAAAGCTCCTCAAGTTGAAAGGGTGGGCAGCCTGGGTCACAGCCTCCCAGAGCCTGGGCTCACCAGCGTACCAAAGCCCGGTTAGCAACCCTCAGCCGCAGGAGCCGCCACGACAGAGCAAGGAACAGGTTTTGGACAGTATCGAGACACCTGCTTGGGAGATGGAGGAGTGTGCAAACTCTCATCTCTCTGGGGCTGGAGCCGCCTGTTGTTATGGACTAGGCCACCTTTCAAGGCTCTTCCAGCACGGTTACGCTTACACAACCATAGATAAAGTAACTAATGAATTCCCAGGGGGGAAGCAGCTTACTTCGGCAAAAGAAACTTTTTCATTTGCCGGTATAGTCAAACACCTCCCTGAACGGCCTAAACTATACTGCTGTACTGACTCTTTTCCAGTCATACCGTAGTTTATATTTGGAAGTGATGGGTGGGTTGCCAAGTGCATTACATCTGCAAAGATAGAGTATTTTCATAACCCTAACCAGCGCAGGTGTGCTGGCCAAATTTTAGACTTGGCCCTACAGTCTTTTGCATAGCAGGACCTTGTTTTCAGCTGGGGGTCTCGGTCTCCATGCACTACTTGCAACTCAACTAATCAAGCGCTAAATTTATATTGGTGCTGCTCGCCTGAGCTTTCTGCCTCAACTACCCAGCATTTTCTTGCTCCTCTCACCAGTCTCCGATATCAGTTTCTCAAAAGAGCTCAGCCAGGAGCCAACCAGGAAAATACCCTCGCCTCCCAGTCCCAGAAAACCCTCTGCGAGTTTTGGGGAAAACGAGGTGGGAGCCAGAGAACTGCGAAAGGGCTGGATCGGCTCCCTGCCAAGCGGTTTGCGGAGCAGAAAGACAAGGCAGAGCACTAGGGCGCTTCAGCCTTGCTTCCCGAAAGACGGGTCTGCAGCAAACCAGCGCGGCTCCAAGAGGGGCACTCACGTGAGCACGGCTGTCAGGGCAGAGCAGGATGCGCAGCCCCTTTCCTGGCGCGTGCCATGGATGGCTTATCACCCTGGGAGGGTGCCAGCCCGAGCCTACAGATACCGCCGGCCTGACCACTCTCTTCCTCCCCCATCCCACGTCTCTCCCCAAAGTAAACATGGGGGCTGAGGGTAAACAACAAACTCGCTCACAACAACTTTTATGGGGACTTTTTTGCAGGCGGAGCCCAAAATTGCCTTCCTGCTTCCAAACCTTTACCTTTAAGGGGGGAAGAAGCCTTCCTAGGCTATTATGGCCAGGAGTTTCTCCCATTAGAGAGGTGAACGCTGCACCGAAAAAAATACACTAAATTTATATTTAATGGTCTTGTAGCACCCATTAAGGAGAAATTTTAGGAGTCCCCTATGACACCAACATCCCTCCCACAAAGCCGAGAAAACCCGTACGCTTATTCTCCCAGAATCATCCCGTTACATATACTCCTCTTTGTATTTGCTTAACACCACCTTCTAGGAATCAAACCTTCGCATAGGACAGCCAAATATTTACAAAGCGACTTGAGCCAGCCTGCTTGACACCCATCGCCATTAGGATATACTGAAGACCAGGAGCACTGGAAAAATCAAGTATCTTTTACAGCAAAGATACTTATTTTAAAGAAAAAAAGCTTTGGATGGGATTTGACGAGCCTTGAAACTTCCATCACTACCTCGGCAACCAACACCTGCAAAAAACCCCGCAAAAGGCAGCTCCTGCCATCCCCACGGTCTCCCAGCTGCACGAAGACGCAAACGCTGCTCCCAACCTCTTGCAAAAGTATTTTCAGAATTACAGCAGCATCTGATACCTGGACCATCACCGACTG